CCCCCCCCCCCCCCTCCCCTTTCGAGCATTAAATTCGCTGGTACCCATTTATACACCTGTGTGGAGCGAGGCACTATGAGAGTAGAGTTTCTTGCCCAAGAACACAACATAACGTCTAGGCCAGGGATCGAACCCAGATCGATGAAACCTTGGAAACTTTTTGGAAAAAACAGCAGGAAATCTGGTAGAATGTTAAACTTGAGTCTATAAAGTCCAGGAACCAAACGCTTTCAGAGACAGATTTGATGATAAATGACGAGCTTGTGAGCATGATTTATTGCACTTTAGGGTGAAGTATCTTCAGTATATGGTTGTCTGAATTTTTCATTGACGACAATTAGAAGACTTTGAAATTATGACAAAAACGATTGTATGAACATTTTAAATGAATTCACTTTTAACTCCCTTGTTAGATAAACTATTACCAGCTACTATAGTTTCTAAAAGTATATTGATGGTTTGCAACTAATCCCGGGAGATTTAAATGATGAAGGCCTGGCGACCATGTTAGATAACACATACAAAAGCACGTCAGGGTCGTCCAATAGGATGGCGATGACGTCATGTGAAGACCAAGACCTCCTCAACCAACCGAGGGTAAACACAACAAATCCCGACATGGGTTTCGCAAGCTTTTATTCACTCAAATATTACCTATGTTCTTCAATACATGCGTGCTATTTTCTTCGCAGGAAACAAAATGCAAAGCTGCTGGTAAATCATCAATGACCACAAAGTCACATTAGCTAGTTAAGAGTTAATTAGAGCCAAAATCCAGCTATGTCATAACGAGACAATTTTAATTGAACAAAAACCAAGAACCGTTAAGTTGAAGGACGGTAGGAGAGAATAAGTAAATTAAGCTATTTTCATATCACATGAACTAATACTTTTTCTTGACTAAAGGAAGAGCTAAATATTACTATCAATTACTGAGAAGTCATCAATTGTACCCACTGGTGCGAGAGAAAGTTTCTGACCCGCAGAAACTCGTTCTCATTACTGCACCTACTTTCACACATTTACTTCTTTTTTCAAATCCCCACCAAGAACAACAGAATAACTAGCACCCCAAGACTACAGTCCTTAAAAGTGACACATCTTTTTGCTTCCATTTTTAGCAATTTAACCTGCATTGTTATGGTTCTAAAAATATCAATAAATAAACTCAGCATGAAGAGGGTCCTGTCTGATTGCCCAGGGCTAAAGTGCTTTTTTTTTTTCATTTGGGTTTGTGGATTCTGTCCATCATTCTCTTGATGGACAAGTGAGAATGATTGGCAGGCTGGCACATTATAACTACAGAAGAGCTTGTCCAAAAAGGAGGTCCAAAACTTGTTTTTCTTTGTACCCTAAACTGGCAATTCTACCACTGACTGAAGTCAACAGCATGAGAATTAAGAGGGCATCTAGGCAATTTGCAGTCACAAACTTTGCACATAAGAAAAAATTTCCAAAAATAGTCAAGTCACACTAGAACTTTTACATTTAATTGTCTTCAAAGTGAATACTTTCTGAAATGTGTCCTTAAATGAATGATAATTTAATTGTTACGGTATACAAACCTATCACTTTTGATACAACTACTAATTACTAGGCATAAAAAGACTGCCTGACATGTGTCAATGATAAATGTCCTAAAATCCTACACCTTTTACAAGGGAATAGTTCACATGAACAAAAAAAGATGAATCACTTTCTGGAAAACATGTCTTGACATGGCCAACAGACACCTTTTTGGCATGTGCACTACACTAGATCAAGACGGATACACTACATGTACCATTGTGTGATTCCACTACTCTGAAGGTTTATTGGTAGGCACATTGGTATTTATGACATGCATTTTTGGCCTCAAAAATAAATGGTCTTAAAAATCTAATAATAAAAGTAATTAATATCATATAACTTATCTAACCCGTGCTGAGTTCTTTGCTATGGAGATACGGTTTTTGCTTTGTGAAATTACACATTTCATTGTTATGAAATATCAACTTAGTACATGATTGTAATTCCACATGCACACGAAATCACATTCAAGCAACGAAAAGATACATCTATCTCTCTGCTTTCAGCTAAGAACAACAATTAAACTACTTGCACATTGTCATCCCATGCCATGTCATGCCAAGGTCTACATGCATGAATGTATAACTTTATAACAGAAACTATTTAAAAGGAATTCATCTTGTTGCAATGTCTACATCATAAGATGATACACCTTTTCTTCTTTTTCACTTTTGGAATTGGCTTCTTTCCCTTCTGTATGATGAGAAAAAGAAACAAAAATTAGTCATTATAAATACATATATGTGTGTGTATCTGATGATCTCTACAATTTTCTATCACTGTACAACGACCTACCTGTCAACAAACACGACCAACCTCTTTTAAAACTGGCCTTCTCATATACACGCATTTGTACACACTTCAGACTCAGTGGCGGATTAAGCCCCCCCCCCCCCACCCCCCCAATTCAAAATACGCTCCAAAAAAAGAAGAAGGAAGAAAGAAGAATAGCCGGCAGGGCAAACACTCCTCCCCCGCCCCTTTTTTAGCTCAAGGTCTGGATCCGCCACTATAACTGATCCGTTTTTTTAGACAAAGAGTNTCTTTATTACTGTACAACAGCACACCATAAAGTTTGCAAAGAAGTCCTGTCTGATACCCCAGGGCTAGTGGATTTTTCAAGTCGATAAATGGATTCTGTCTGTCACTTGCAAGTGAAATTTGGTGGGAAAACTTTTTTGAGAAAATTCAAAATACAGAAGTCTTAGTTTACTTTTTTTACTATTTTGTTGGCAGAAGACTTGCCTGGCCCCTTGCCCGGCCCCTTGCCCATCGGGCAGGTTAGAATGAAATGTTACATGTACTTGCCTGGTCAGACAATCTACTTGTCTCAGACAACCAGACACTCCTTTTTTCAAGCCCAGCTAGTGAGAAAAACCTTCGAGGTAGTATATCATATTTGTAGTTACATGTAGAACTTTCCCAAAGGGCAAGTCTGAAAATTTGTTTTCTTTGCGCCCTGACCATAATGTAACTTACAGTATGCCATTCTTTCTTCACTTTAAATTTCAAACAATATCAGAAAACAACACAGAATGGACTGAATTTTGAGCCAAAACCCACACTATAGTTCCTTAGATTTAGATCTCAAAATATGGCTTCGAGTCTGTAAACTAAGTTAAATGTACTGGTCGAGGAAGGGGGCCCAGTGCCTTATGTTGAAATTTCTGACAAAAGTCACTTACATCTCGCCTGATTTCTCTGACAAGGGTGTAAAATGCATCCTCAACTCCTTGTCTTGTTTTGGCTGATGTCTCTATGAACGGGATTCCATAACTCGTTGCTAAATCACAAGCTTCCATTGGCATGACTGTCCTCTGGAGATCACATTTATTTCCGACCACTACAAGACACCATCAAGAAAATACATGTAGTTCACTTGTACATGGTTATAGACTATGTTATATACTAAGTTTTTGTCCACTAATTGTAGTTACTCAAACTTATGGTGGATTCCCTCTTAAATGAGTGTGGTTAAAAGAGATCAGTTAAGATGATAATCATCCTGCTGGTAGGGTTTCGGATTTTAAGAGAAAAAGAAAACGGTCTGCAGTTTCAACAGAACAAAATATAGTAGTTTGTGGAAATATGAACAACCCGCTATAACAGATCCTATATGACCGTGCATGGTGGTTTCTGCTTGCAGGATTGCCAGGTGTACGTGTACATGTATGTACCTTCATTATTTGCTCAAATCAAGTGTGATTCCACCATATTTAAAAGGTCCATTTACCCATCTCGTCTAATGATGATGAGTTTATTTTTTTCGTGTCTAGGTTTAGTTACAAAAACATGAATGAGATTGCAGAAAGTACTATGAACACTGTGAAACAAGAAACTGTTATCAGTACTTACAAACCATAGGAACTTCATCAGCATCCTTCACTCGTTTAATCTGATAAGCAGAAGAAGATAATAAGAGATAGACATGAGATAAAAGGGAGGAATGCACTGAATGCCAACTTTCAAACTTTTGACTGTGTTCCTGACCTCTGAGTTTCAAAGGGGTCAATTCCACCACATGTGTTAAAAGATAAACTACCAGAACAGAAGAGATCTGTACCAGAAGCACACCAAAAACATCTTGCCAAATTTTAAAATAATTACAATATTTAGGGAGGAAGCCACATCAACTGTAGCTGGTTTCACGTAGGTCCTCCATCCTGGTCAACTGGAAGTTAAAGTGTTGGTTTTTGTGGAGGGAGGAAAACCCAAGAACCTAGAGAAAACTCCTCAGAGCAAGGCAAGAACCGATAACAAACTTAACCCACATAGAGACCTGCTCCGCTAGCCTCTATGGTTATTCCAGGCAGCTAGTACTCTAATTTTTACTTTTCATATTTTTATTGCACATTGTAATTTTCTTTGCAAAAGTGAGTACAAAATTAATAAAGATAGATTTGATTGATTGATTGATCGATCGAAAGATAGATTTGATTGATTGATTGATCGATCGATCAGTTGATTGATTGACTGATTGGTATACACATAAGGCACCAGGACAGAATCAAACCCTGCCACATTAGTGGGACACGAGTGCTCTCACCACTGTGCCACCCCTGCTTCCCACAACAGTACCGTCACAACATTTTATGTGCTCGTAATTTATAAGCATACCTGCTGTCTAAATGCATGGATTTCCTCAAATGATCTCTTGTTGTTGACAGCGAAAACACAGAGAAAACCTTCTCCTGTTCTCATATATTGATCTCTCATGGCACTAAAATGATAAAAGCATGAAAATTGTTGAAAGCATTTACAGTCCGCATTCACATGTCCATGTACTGAACATCGCATTTCAAAATATTATGTGCAGCAATTCTTGCTTCTGGGTACTTCAGAGTTACCTGTATCTGTGAGATTGTTTTGGTAAATCAAGATAAAGATCTTCTTTCTAATCATTTGTCTTCTAATCAATGTTTTAGTAAGATACATGATTATTCAAGATTTCCAAAAACCAAAAAGAAACTTACAATTACATGTAAAATCACCAGACGTGAAAAAAGCCCTACCCATTCTCCAGTCCGAGTTTCATGATGTGTGCTTAGAATTGGTCCAAAATACAGTAACTTCCACTCAAAGGTCTTTTGTTCAAAATTCAAAGGAGAATTTGTGGCAAAAAAAAGCATGACTTAGGAATCTTAATTCCCCCAAATGGATTCAGTTTGCAGTGCAAATACTAGTAGGTTCATTTGAAGTTGACAAGCTCAAATGTGCGAGCCAAATATGAATAAATTAATACTGTGCATAGGTCTGTTTGTGTGAGGCTTGTAGCACTTATGATACTGTATGTGTATGGGTAGTTACACTGTACTGTCTATATAATATATGATAACAACTGATCAGTAGGGTGTTAACAACCTGTATTCCTCTTGACCTGCAGTGTCCAGAATATCCTACGAATCAACAGACATAAAAGACATCTTAGTTTATGTATCTGTTTACAGTATGTGTCCTACAAAATAGTAATTACAACATGCACATGTAAAGGGTGCTAATGCAAATGAAAGACTTACCAGTAAACAAGTTTCTCCATCGATTACAACTTGTTTTCTGTAAGAATCCTCTGAAAAAATAAAGCAAAAAAAAAAACTTGAAACAATGCTGACACATTACATTGTACATGTCACTTGCAATTGAGCCTTTGTTTTCGAACACTGTTGAACAGCAATGACTATTCTCTCTGCGCACATATGTTGTAATCTAGGAAGGGCCACAGTGGGTTGATGTTTTCGGTTGTAACAAGGTTCCTCAGATGAGTGCTCGTTCAAAACTGTTCAATAATCATTGCTGTAGATGTGTTGAGTGAGAGGAGCACAGTTTGAGTTACCGCTACTGTTGTATTGCCTCAAAATTTAAGTCCTATAGTAACCAAGCAACTTCTCTATTGCATTTTTTTTCTTTTGGGGGAGGGGGAATGGGTGAACATTTGCCACTCCCATACTTCCTCCGTCATGAGCTTCAGCTTATTTACAGTGTAAGATGTATTGTTTTTTTTGTTTTTTTTTTTTTTGGAGAGCTAAATAAGAAAATCACTTTTTGTATTCCTTGTGGGTCACTTTTAACCAACCAAGCTATAAAATTGAAAACTTCAGTTTCATGATGAGTAGGAAATTATAAATAGAGTTTAATACTGTACAATCAAATCTCAGCTGAGCATCACAAACAACCCAGGTATAGGCAAAACAAAACAAAACAAAACAATAAAGCACTTGCCTATTGTTGGGTCATATTCATCCACAAAACTGTAACACAAAACAAAACAAAAATTGGTTCAATACAACTGATTAATCAATAACTTAACCTTACTTGGCTGTTATGGAAATAACGATGGACAGTGTGTTTTCCTGTGCAGTAGATGTAGAGACAAATGTTTACGAAAATAACATCACTGTCTTCCTGTTCCTTCCTAGTTCTCTTCCATAAACAAAGAAAAGGAAAATAATAACACTAGAGAATAGTTAAAAAATTGTATGTACACAAACTGTTTTATTTATTTATTCATTTTGTTTTTTTTTTATTTTGTTTGTTTTTTTGTTTGTTTTTTTCATTTTCATGCTTGGTTGTTACAACTAGAAACTGAAATAAATTTTCAATTAACTTATAGCGTTAAATTCAAGTCACAGTATTAGCCTACATGTACTACAAGCCCCATAACACTACCCCACCCCACCCAGCAAGTGGTCCACACCCCTTAGGTCTCCCCACCCTCAAACATCAACAACAACAACTCCCTTTCCTTGAAAGTTTACGGGTAAAAACGCAAGAAATGATTGCAGTTTGCCAATAAACATCTGCAAGGCTCGTCTTAGAACTTATTTACGCGAAAATATATTTCAAGAAACTCATTTACAAGCTAGCGGGCCCAGCACCGCGAATAACACAAGCAAAGATTTTCGTTTCAGCGAGTCCGACTTATGCAGCACATAAGCTTAAATAAAATACACTGAAAATGGCTTGTGTTCGTCGTGGCAAATTCAGACTTGTGAAACAGCGTTCTGACAGCTTGTTTGAAACTTCTACTGACATGAAATTCAGGCTTATTTATGCTCGACCGCAAGTTTAGCAGGAAAAGAACGCTTACAACTGGAAGCCTTCTTATATGAATTGAATCAGCTTGCACTTGGATGTACTGTACTGAAAGCTCGAAAGGAAGAGAAAAAAAATAAAAACTAATTTTATGATAGATGAAAAGCAGGGGACAGACAAGATTGTACTTTTACGTTAGGTACTGGTAAGATCAAGTTTAGCGACATTGTGAGGTTTGACTATTACACAACGCGATTGATGCGACCGCGCCAATCGACACAGAATGTCCTCATACTAATGAAAGCACATGCTGAATTCCATGCGGACTGGTTCCTCTATTTACTGTACTTACTGGTTCTGAATTAGCTGAATGGTCAACGCACTTTTGCCAACGCCACCGGCTGAAAAAACAAAGTTAAGCTTGCAGTTAGTTTGGCTGGTTGGACCAAATGTTTACGGCGATCGTCTTAAAAATTCACCTAAAGATCAAACGCTCTATGGAAGAACAGCAAAGCAACACAGAGTCTCAAGATTACCTCCAACGACCACTAGCTTGTACTCAGTCATGGCTTACAAAGGCCAAACTAGCCGTGATTGTCCTTCCACACTCGTGAAATCTACTGCTTTTCCGCTGAATATTGCTAAGTTTTTGTTGTACAAGGTCGTGTGGCCAGCAACACAACCCGCGCATGGTAAATGAGTCACAGGAGGAGTTATATACTACAACTAAATTTATCAGCCAATCAGCATAACTAAAATTTCTTCAATTGTTCTATTTGACCAATCACATCTCGTATGTCTTCAGCCGCTAAATAACACTGTATATAAGACCCAGCCGTTTGTACCTTGGTAAAATGAAGGGCAGCCTTCATGGAGCAAAAAGTCTAAGACAGCGACGCAAGAAATATTAAGACCGCCTCGCCTCGCTGGTACTGCAGGAATAAAGTAGGGTGCATGAATAGCCAATATCTCGACTTACAGAATTTTAGTCTTGACGACCCTGAGTTCAAAAATAATTACATACCTTTTTAGTTTTCCAATTTATTATTAAAATTAATTGAACTATTCTTAACTTTTTTATAGTTGATATTGACGTACCATAGCAAATCTTAATCAATGCTATTGGATATTAAAGTTCCGAAACTAACGACGCCCCAAAGGAACTCACCATCACGAATGCCGTTCGTTCTCGGATTGGCTACGTTACTCACTATTGTTACACTAATTGTTTAAAAACAATAGAGTGTTTCTGTCGAGGAACTATCGGCTGATGGTCGCCCTGCGGAAATTTGTTGTTCTTAAAACAAATATTTGCCCGAGAAGCGACGCTTCGAGGGCAGATATGCTGCTTTTAAGAACATCAAATTTCCAAGGATCAGTTTTCCGAAGAATGGAAAACAAAGTGTACATGGTAGAAGTTTTTGGTGGTTGAGCTCTCGATCCTTCACGGCCTTTTCGACAAAAGGAAACTGAACAATATGGAGCCAGGCATTTCTTAAAAGCGAGAAGAAAGCCAACAAACACCCCTGGCTTTGAGCTTTTTGAGCTGATGAATCGCATATTGTAAAATATGGACTGGAGTGGACTAGAGTGGAATGGATTGGATTTGTAAAACATGGAGTGGATTTGTAAAAGGTAGATTTGAAAAAGGTGGATTTGTAAAACGTGGATCTGTAAAACATAGATTCGTAAAACATGGATTTGTAAAAGGTGGATTTGTAAAAGATGAATTTGTAAAACATGGATTTGTAAAAGGCGGATTTGTAAAACATGGATTTGTAAAAGGTGGATTTGTAAAAAGTGGATTTGTAAAACATGCATTTGTAAAAAATGATAATTTATAATTAAAGCGCGCAACGAGAACAGTACGGAATGTTTTTTTCGCGCAGATCAAATCTAAAACCGTGCAATAAAAGCTAAAGATTGTGGCACCCAGGGGACAATTAATAAGCGGCAAGAACGTAACAGTATTGAAAGAAAACCGGATGTTATCCTACAATATAATTAGCCAGAAGTTTGTGCAAGCAGCTAACAAAATCAACTGTTATTTAATTCCGTAAATCTTTGTTTTTTTAGTTTGTGCAGAAGGTGGATTTGTAAAAAAATTGTAAAACAAACGTAAAACAATAAACTTTATTTTGTTTGCAGATCCTTCGAGCAAACAGAATACCAATAGTATACATTCCAAATAATTCATTTTTTACTTTTACATGCATTTACTTCTACATACATTCCAAACAATTCACTCTTTAGTTTTACGATTAATTCACTTCAACATTAACTGTAATGAAAGCACACAAAGAAATAATTCCTCAACATTTTATCACAACGTTTATAAATGCAATATTGTAACACTTCTTGGTAAGAAAAGGATTAATTCGAATCAAGAAAATGAATTGCTTGAGCCGGTGCTACAAGTTTGTTCAACATTTTTTTGTTGAACGAATGACTGCAAATTTCTCAAACATTAGTTATAACAACACATTGCTCCTCGTCGGTGCATTTAGCCAAATAAACTGTTCCAAAAGTTCCGCTTCCTATTTTTTTCTTTAGGCTTATAGAATTCCACCTAAACTCTAGCAAAGATAACTGCCGTCTTCGCTTTTTGAGAGAAAGAGATGGAAGCTTGAAAACCGCCATCTCGATCTCGAGCGCGCCGTGTAAACTTTCGCGCCAGAATTTGAATTATGCAAGATTTTATTGTTCAAAGGTCAAAACATTCACTCCAGCTTTCTGTTTATGGATACATGTAATTGACAGCAGCGCCAAGCTGTCAACAGTGCCAATACTCAAACGAAAAGTAATATCCCCGATGCCCGACAAAAACCTTTGGTAGCCAGGGTAGCAATAGTTAAAAGGAATTAAATAACAGTTGATTTTGTTAGCCGCTTGCACAAACTTTTGGCTAATTATATTGCAGGATAACATCCGGTTTTCTTTCAATACTGTTACGTTCTTGCCGCTTATTGTTCCCTGGGTGTCACAATCTTTAGCTTTTATTGCACAGTTTCCGATTTGATCTACGTGAAAAAAAAATTCCGTACTGTTCTCGTCGCGCGCTTTAATTTTAAATTATCATTTTTTACAAATCCATATTATACAAATCCACCTTTTACAACTCCACCTTTTACAAATCCATGTTTTACAAATTCACCTTTTACAAATGCATGTTTTACACATCCACCTTTTACAAATCCACTTTTTACAAATCCGCCTTTTACAAATCCATGTTTCACAAATCCACGTTTTACAAATCCATGTTTCACAAATCCTCGTTTTACAAATCCACCTTTTACAAATCCACTCCATGGTTTACAAATCCAGTCCACTCCACTCTAGTCTATGTTTTACAATATGCCCACATGAATGGCTTTTAAAAATGATCCCTGTCACTTTCGTTATGTGGTAAAATAGGCTTATATGAGCAGAAGACTGAGACTTAAAGGAAAATGTCTGAAATGTAAGCTTATATTTGTGCATGATGCAGTCTTTCCTTCGAGCGGCTGTTTCTTCAAGAGTTCAATTCACGATAGCCTGATTCGCAGACGTCCGAGGTCGTTCGCGGCCCCTCTCTCCCTCACCCGTCTGATATAGTTTGTGCGAGATCGTGTTCATGACGTCAAAGCACTTGTTGTATAGCAAGGGCCAGTCACAACGCGCGTAAGAAATGAAGCGTGGAAAAGTCAACAAATCAATTTCTCGCGAGTTCTTCCTTGATCAGATTTTGGCAAAGCGAAGAATTTTTAACTTCTAGGCCGAAGAAAGCCGTCTTATCTCGTACGAACTCGATTCAGTGCTTGTTCTGCGCTGAATTTCTCGAAACAAGCGATAGAATAGCGGTTCCTGGGCACTTTGCGAGAAACTCGGCAAGATATTTAGGCGGTGAGTTGCAAACTTCCAGCGAGGACTTGCAATATGTTTGCAAAAGAAAATGCTACCCAAAGTTGAAAAAGATCGAAAAAAATGATGTGAAATCTCAAGTCTCGAAGACGAGTTGAGGGCAGAAATGTCTAAAAACGCCAAGGTTCGCATAAAGCGGAGATCGAGTCGAGATTAAAGCTGGAAGCGAAGCCCGTGAAGAAAGCTCTATTTCTTACAAGTCCACCTCGAGATCAAACAAGGTTTCCTTCACCAGTATTAACGGCGAGGGAGATTATAAGTCTGATAAGGTTACCTCCTACAGTTTCGATGGTTGGATATACAGCAGTAAGGCATTCAGGTGTTCCTGCAGTTGTGCGGGCATTTCCAGATTGTGTTAACATTGGGAGGAATTTCTTCTCACCTCCACCAGACGAACTTGGTTCAGTGTCCAAAAGCTTTTGTACAGCTGTGGGCAATTTCTATGTTGAAGCCCCTTTTTGCGTTTTTTTAAGTTTAATAATATTCACGTAATATTCGATCATGGCTTGTTTTGCTCGGAAAGGAATAAAGAAAATGGTACATTTTTGTTTGACATAAATGAATATGAAATGTTCCTCCTTAAGTATCATTGTAATAAACTGTATTTAGTGGTGTACTTGGCTGTTAAGTGTGAGTACATAATGAATTTGTAAAAAACAAAACTGTTTACACAGAATATTTCAACAAATACTTTTCATACAAAGGTCCGGTTTTTCCAGGAAACCTTCACCACTGATCATTTCCTAGTAAGGACTCCGGCGACGAAAATACCACGGAGCACTCTCCTTTCTCAATCTTCAGATTCAGAGCCTTATCTTCTCCTATCGAGCCAGCCGATATACCAAATTTCCGCAAGAAATTTGGTTGATCTTCCATAACGCTCACTGGAGGGGATATCACAATTATCAATGGATTCGCTTCAAATCCATCGTGGCGTCGTGATTTCGGCGTGAATTGAAGGAGCCATCTGGAACACAAGCGACTTTCCGAATCCCGTTGGCAAGTTAAGAAGACATAAATATGAGAAACAAACGTTTTGAGCGTTTTGAACTGTTTAGAGAACAGTTTTTCCACGCCAAAACTTGGCAAGCGTTCAAGATTGCACAGCCGACTCGAAACCTTTCATTTTGAATAACATTCCACACATTGCACACTTCTCGGGATGTGGTACATCCGATCTGATTGGTGAAAATTGACAATGACTCTGACGTCGTGAACACGACCTCGCACAGAGTATATCAGACGGGAGAGGGAGAGAGGGGTAACGAAGGGGCCGTGAACGACCTCGGACGTCTGAGAATCAGGCTAAATTCACGATCGAGCGACGAGCCTTCGAGCAAAACTAAAACCCGGCAACTGAAATAAGTCATCAGAGGCTACCAATATTTGATAAAACTTCCTTTATTAAACCTCTGAAAAACTATTACCTTTACATCGTTTTTGGAACAGAAGGATTTCTAATGTAAGGCTTCACAAACAGAGATTTGTTAAAGCTCTCATGTTCAAGTCTTGTTCGCCGAAATAATCTAATGGCCTTTCGATGCCAGAAAAGTTTTACAATGAAAGCTTGTGCTGAATTTTATTGTCGTCAAATCGCTAGAAAATTCTCTGTAAAATTTCCGCGATGCATTACTAACCTCGAAAGGCTGATACAGACCAGTTTGATGGGCCGTCTCCGAGTGCCGAGTGCCTTTGTTCAACTAGCTGATTCAACTTCTGCTCGCTTAAATTCGCAAATTCCTTAGGTGGAGGCCCGGCAAAAACTTAAGCTCGAAATTTGGTAGCTCACAGGAATAATATTCT